CAAACTCTTCTGCGGCAGTCCTTCACTTCCTTGAGGGAGAAATGGAGAAGACGTGGACGGCTCAGATAGTGAAGAAATGAACCGAATTAGAGAGAATAACCCTCTCTTTTATTATGCAGTCGCATCCCAATTCTTACAACTGAACCCATCTCTATTGTTTTGAGTCTCATGTGTTAGTGACTTTGAAAAAAGAGACATCCACAAGCTTCATAACATCCATGTCCTTGTATCTACCCTTCTGTGCAAAGCACTAAAGCTTCCTCTGTCCTGAAGACGCTCGGTCTTTCAGCTTCTTCTGTCATAAAAGGCATGACCAGCAAACGTGGCTGATGTTGGGATCCTCCCACCCTTTGTTTAGCATTCGTTACTTACTGAATGTGCCCAGCAGCTGGATTCACCTCCAGGCATCTGTCCTCTTTACCCCTTAGCCCCCAGACTCATCCACCCATCTGTGTTTGCTGGTGTCCTCCTGCCCCTCCTCATTCTGCTGAGTCGGAGCACGAGCAGCCCGAGGGAAGATACAAGTGGGCCATTGCCCCAGGAGAGCTACACCATTGCCTGCAGTACTTAAAAATCTGCTCGAGGTTAAGAGAGCGAAGGAGAACGTTTTTGAGTTTTTCAGCACAGGAGGGCCCACGCCATTGAAACCTGAAGACATGTACGTTTACACACAAAAAAGAAGCTTTGTCTTTTGTTCTTTTCTGGCTAGTTAAATACCTCTCTTGGGCGATTTTCATCCATAATTCATCATCACTGGTTTTCATCTATAATTCATCATCACTGGTTTTCAACCATAATTAAGATGCAGGACAAGTATCTGTGGAGGTGCCAATGGGGAAATGTTTAGGGTGGAGGTGTGACCAAAAACATAAATCTGTGCAAAAAACAAATCATTAATGACTTGAACAAGCTTTAGTCACCCAACATCCACAGGATAAAATCAGATGAATGGTCACTAATTTTCTTACTCCAGCGGTAGGACTGAATCTGGTTGGACTAATTGACAGAAGGAAGGTAGATACAGTATGTAAATTAAAAAGTGTTACAACTATCACACACTCTAAAGTTAGTTAATTTGATATCTAGCTGCACAGTCTTAATAGTAAATTGAAACTCTGCTAGTTTATAGACTAAATATTGATTTAAATGTATCTCTATAGTGCTTTTCATCTTAATTAATACTATTCACCCTAATAGGAAGGAACCCATCTCATCCACCTCTAAGGTTCAGCACACATCTGAGTGACATACAGTATACATGGCATTATGTGCCGGCACCCCTACTCCACAGAAGATCAAAATTCAAAGTTTCTTTACCAGCGATCAGAGGAGAACTTTGGGTAGGCACCCCTACTTTTCTGGACGATATCACTTAATCTTTACTGACCCAAGTCCAAGAAATCAGGACAGGGTTTTGGAAATTTTGTGATATCGAGAAGTGTTATTGACTGATTTTTGTGTTTTTATTCATACATTTATAAGGAGTAAGAATAAAATACTAAGGAAATTCTGTCTCCCTGTATTGCACTCAGCAGTTTAAAGCTTTTCTGTGCGATACAACCTCCATCCACTCATACTTACAAAGTTTAATGTCATTTTCAAGAAGCACTCATGATCACAGATGTGAAGTGTCAGAAGTATTTGGATAAAACATTTTCCAAATTTCCTCAGAAACCCTTCCCCTCTTCCTTGAGCCAATACAGTCTGTTTCAGAGTCAGAATGGATGTTGTCTTAAACAAATATATTTAAAAGAAAATTAAATAAACACTGTGCTTTCAAACCTCCCTTTAGGGCCCTTCAGTGGGAAGATAACAACCTAGCAATGAAGTGTCTGCATTTCTGACTGCCCCCAGAAAAAGAATGGGCCAACAGCAATAGTGGAGCACAATTACAAGACACAAACAAACACAAGAGATAAAAAATTGAATTACTTGCATTCTTTGAAGAGAAAACCCAAGAATGTAGCTCTGGAATGAAGGTGAGGGATAAACACAAGAGAAACAGAATTGACCAGGGCTGTGCGTGTTGTTTTTCTTCTACAAAAGACGTCGGTGCAGGACAGTGATGCAGTATTAAAAGAAATTTATAATGAGGCTGTTCTGCCTGGGCTGGAGTCTTGTAATGAAAGGCTAGGGGAGAGTGGGGGGGGTTGGCGGTTCATGATGGATTAGCAGACTGGTGGAATGATAATGTCTCTGTGATGCTGTACCTCCGGTGTTGGCTCCTTGAGGCAGGGGTGTAGGACTGGAAACCATGGAATTTGACTTGCTTAGCCTGACTTGAAGGGGAATCGGATGGGATTCGGAAAGTGCCAAAAACAGCTCACGCAGAGACCTCGCGCGGATTCTACAACCGTTTGAAAAGGAAAACAGATGCAGAAAAAGGGTGAATGTCATTCAGATTGCTGCCTTGCACGTCACAAGGATACAAAAACGAGGAGAAAAATACTCCTTGAAAAAAAGACAAAAAAGCTGTGTTATACACATGATAAAGAAAGTCATCATCTCACAGACAAAACTAGGAAAAATGATAAACACTCTGGTGTGTTGTTTACCTTTCAGGATATTACAGATACATAAACAATTTGTACATAAATATGTATACACTGAAAGTGGTGCAATGTGGTTTTTATCTCAATTATCAATTGGGCAAAACTGAATAACCTGTTTGAGTAGGACATTATGAGAGCTGCACACCTTGTGGACAACGTTAGAGCTCTTACTACATTTTATCCATTTCCCATTACCTTCCGAGTATGAAAAGCCATGCACATTTGTGGTAGGTATTGTACTTGTGAGCTTACAGAACCAGAGGTGATATCTTTATGCGTAACAAACACACTCGTTCCTTGCTTTAAGGTGAAATTCACTGACTTCGTGGCTCCGCAAAAAAGAGAGAATAAGCATTATAAATCCTGCTAGCACTAATTTCCACATGTCGCATTCAGTTTTAATTCCTGTTTCATATACACGTCTATATAAATAGATCATACTGTAAATACTAAAGCAATTCTGGAAATGAAATATAAATCAAAGCAGCTAAAATAGAAATAAAATCTCACACATAATAAAGACAGAACAAGGGCAGATAAAGACATGTTAGTAGCCTCCTGAATTTGTAATTACATTTTAAATTAAACAGCTAAGATTAGCAAAAGCAACACTCTTGAGTGGTTGTTTATTCTAAGATGTAGGCCAACATTCTGATGTTTATTTTTAAGAGTGAAACATACATTTATTTTTGTAAGATCAATTTAAAACATTATATGTGTATGTGTTCAAAAACGTCACACTCAGATTAGAGATTATTGAAAACACGGAGAATAATGGCACCAATTTATCACTCAAAGCTATCAGGGTAAAGAAAGGCAAAATTTCATTGATAACAGCTGTTTGACGTTTTAACACACATTAACATATTATTCTATGTCACTCTTTAATTACTCTATTGAGGTCTTAAATGTGCACTTCCAAAACATATGTATACTGTAAACTGCACACTGTTTTATTCCATCTATTATCAGAAAGTAGCTTTCTTATGTTCAGGGGTTTGGCAACCTGGAGCCTATACTGGAAGTGTGGGGCACCAAACTTGACACTATTGTACCTTGGAAGGGATCTCAATTAATCTCAGGACAAACACACACATGCATGCCCAAAGGTACAGTTTAGAAACCAGAGCACCCGGAGAAAATACAGTTGCAATGCAAAAGATTAAGACATCTTAGACAAAATGTACAGTATGTATGATACCAGCATCAACAATTTACTCAAGCATCTGTTAAGAGTCTGTAATAATTACAACTTTGGCTGTTATTGATACAGCCTACTTTGGGTGAGGAGAAGTCAAATTTGTTGTTGAGCAATTCTGGATATTCACTTTGATCAGAATCACTTTGTACGTTCTCCCTGTGTTTGCATGAGTTTCCTCCAGGTGCTCTGGTTTCCTCCCACATTCCAAAGATATACTGGTAGGCTAACTGGCTTCTAGGAAAACTGGCCCTGGTGTGTTCATGTTTGTGATCTCCCTGCAATGGACTGGGTTACCATCCAGGATGTATCCTTCCTTGCATCCATTGCTTGTCGGGATAGGCTTCAGGAAAGCCCTCCTTTTTACCAGGAAATACAGAATAATACAACAAAAATGCTTGCACTTGCTTGGTTGGTTTTTTCAACTTTGCAGGTGCTGTTGCTGTTATTAATTATTGTTGAAGAGGGGGTAATTAGCTTCATCACCAAATCTGAATCCTGTCTGCAAGTTACACTACACACCACAGTCATGAATCCCCATTACACAGAGTGTAGGATCCATTCGAGACCTTTTTTTTCTTTTCTACAACAGCCCAGCCCACCAAGAGGCATAAGTTTGAGTCCAAACATGGCGCTAAGTCTGAAAAAAAGGTTGAATTGATAGTCAACACTGGAACAGTTCTACTCAAAATGTTTCATCCCAATTGAGAAAAATGAATGTTAAATCAACTTCATACCCTGGCTGCACAAATACTCATCAGTCTGTCTTACTTTTAGTACATTGTTTTGCTCCAGCATTTGTCACATTAATTCTCGTGTTTTACTCTGTCACTCCTAGTTTCCATTCATTTCTGTTTTGGTTTAAATTTACTTTGATATCGTTTTGTCACTTTATTTATGCATTTCAAAATGTGTATGCACATTTGTAAGGCAAAGAATAAAACAAATATATCATGGCACGTACTTTGAAATTAAGTGGCCCAGTGCTTTCTACAGTTATGACCATAGCGATATACTATTATTTACTGGCAACCATACAGGAATGTATTAATGACAAAATGGTATCTGTCCAGGAACATAAAACTAAATAAAACTCTGAAGTTAAAATATTAAACTTCTCTTTCAATGCAAATCCCAACAAAGGAACAATAACATCAAACACAAAGCTGGCTGATAAGCAAGACTAATTCTGTTTTTTATAAACATTTATATTTAATTCATTACCAAGAATTCTTATAAATCATCTCATACAAACATCCCAGATTTAGCACGACACCCAATTCTAGAAATGCAGAAACAGCTGGAATAAGAAACAACATCTTGAGTACTTTAGTCCGAGTGATATGTAATTTCATGTTCATTTCCTTGAATGTTATTTTATGTTTTAACACCACCGTAAAATTGGGTTAAGTAAAGAAAATTGTCACTAGAATTGCCCAGAACAAAGGGTGAATTAAAAATAAGTAAATGGACTGCACAGAAAAAAATTCTTCTACTTTCGCTTTTCTGCTTTGTTGCAATATGGCAGATTGAAAATTGCTTAGATCTCCAAAAATCCTGAACTGATCTCATTTTTTACTGTATATGTTCTCCTTGGTGCAGGTTTGGGTGAAAGTGCAGTAAGTGTCTGAAATCTTTGAGAGTTCTGTGTTACAAAATGATGTGTTACACAACAGAGCAATAAATAACCCCTTGTTGTTGAGTGTTTAACAAGGATAATCCCATTTTGACTGTTAAAATTAAAATGGTGTTGAACAATGCCACTTATCTTCCACATGAACAACTGAAGTAAATGAACTAGAAGGGTAGTTTTCACACAGTGTGTCGAAAGGAAAACTGAAACCAGGAGTTTCTTTTGACCGTGAGATTGATTGTATAATATGTGCAGTAAAATGCATAAACTGTTATGAGCCTGTGTGCCTGGGTTTGAGGTTCCAAGCAAATCATCAGCCACAGCATTTTAAAATTGTAAATGTTTGTTAAACCTCAGTGAGAAAATTTCTGCATTTAAAATCTTTTTCTTTTCTCTCACATTAAGCAACTAATTTCTTCCTAGGTATAGGCAAACATTCCTTGTCATGCTTAGTAGTCAAACAATTATTTGAGTACAGAACAAGAGTATTTTACATTTTATTAATACTTAGCAATAGTGTGGAATATTATCCACTAAAAATATTTATTGTGAAAGGAAAATAAAACTGACACTCTAAGTGGATGTACCTCAGATCTCTCTAGAAACTAGTTTACTATGAGGTAGGCATTGATAATTTATTTTCTCCACCCTCAGTACAGAATATTGAATACATGTAACAATTTAAACAATTTAAAAATAATCTTATTAATGTATGAAATATATGATTAACATCAAACCCTGTACAACACAAATACAAAATAATATAATAGAAATTATTACATTTTGAGTGCATATAAAGATATATACATTTACAAGAAGTAGTTGCTCATTTCTCAGTTTTTGCACTTGCAGAGTTTAAATATACAAATATTTACAGATCAAGTTATGAACAACAGTGCATTAAAAGCTAATGTGCATTTAAATATAATCTCGCTTGCGAGTCTTTTTAAATTAGGTGTTTATTTTGATCAGGTTACAGAGGATGTGTTACGAAAGGGCATTTCTGCTTTTGTGGACACGGAAGGTTGCTGTAGAAGTGCACTTTTAAGATGATGCATTGTACAAATGTCAGTTCCAGCAAAGGCCTTAACGTTCTTTAAAAGTATATTTACACAGAACAATTATGAGCGCCCAAATTGCTTGCGTATTTCTCCAGGCCTCGGCTTGAATGGGCTAAATAAACAAATCTGAAATGCCCAGTCATATATACAGCAATGCACCAAAGTTTCAATCATTCTCTGTTTAATTAAAAAAAAACATCCACCCCTCATTTTAGCTACAGTCGTGCCTTTACCACGGGCTTTGTGTAGCTGTTATCTCTTAGGAGTGCTACCTAGACCGAGCGAGAGACGTGTGCCTTCAGAGAAAACCTTGGGGGAAATAGTCCCCCCCCCGCTTTCTCCTTTCATTGGATCTCCTTTTGTGTTTGGTAAATTACCTTCACCTTTAAAGAGGCAGTAAAGATCGGTTGATAATTCTTGGGAAGTGGTGGAATAGAAGAAACTTTATTGGGCTGTGCCCTCGGTCCACGCCGATTCCATTTCTCTCCGCATGCCAGCCCATGAAAGGAGCTGCGACTATTGCTTTTCCCTTCATCTTAAATGGTCTCAGTTTGAACAGGTGCTTGTCACTGCAGCCCTGTGTACACTCCTGAAAACTAACAAGAGCATGAAGCGATACAATCCTCCTCTGTCCGGACGTGACTGCCACGACCTGGTTTCTGACGGTGCGGTTTTTCTTAACTGCTCGTTCGGCTGCGCGAAACTGCGTCACCAGACCGACTTCATTGTCGAGTACACGTTAGTCCTGTCTGACTGTTGGAAACGCTCAGGACCCTCAGTTGTTTTGTATCCGTGTGTCTTTAGAAATGGTATTTAAAAAAAATCGCCTTTGGGTGGGATTCAAATAAAAAGATTTTTAATCGCAGTGGAATCAGTGGCGCTACTGCCCGTCTAAAAGATATACAGCCTTCCTACATTGAAGTAGTTCAACACCTACTGGTTGACAGCTAAACCTGTTCTAAACTGACTACAAAAACTTGTTTCAAAAATGAAATAAAATGTGTTCCTTTCAACTCTCCCTTTTGGACATTCGTGAGGCACTCACTCTGTGGCAAAGCTCAGGTGAAGCGTCTGCTCCAGGACAATTTGGGGGCTTCTTCTCGCCCAAACACGCCCAAGCCCAGACTTGCTCTTTCGTGGTGGTTGAGCAGTTTCAGCAGTACACCCCCCACCACCAAACCGGGGGGGTGAAAAGCAGACCAGAAACGCTACCTGCACCCGCATGATTCCACTACCATGTCTTCGTACTGCTTGTATACAACGTTATTGCCCGAATCGATGTAAAGGATACTGATGGGACTCAACTTTGTGGGAACGCAGCAGCTGGGAGGTGTGGAATTCGGGTCCATTGAATTCATCAGAGTTTGAATGATGGCGTGGTTAGTCGGCTCCAGGTGCGATCTCAGGGGAAAGTCGCACACGCCCTCGCAGTGATAAGCTTCGTAGTCCAACGGAGCGATGATCCAGTCATCCCACCCCAGCTCTTTGAAATTCACATGTAACGGTTTTTTGCTGCACCTCGACTTGGACTTTTTGCCGTGCCTTTTCCCGTGACGGTTGTTAAAAGCGGTTCTCCTCCTCCGCCTCGCTTTTAATCGGAAACCACTTGGGTCCCCCGCCTTCCGAGAAGACTTGATTTTTTCCTTCATTTCGTTGAAGAGGTTCTCCTTCTTCCTCGACCGTGTGAAAACCACCAGGATCGCTTTCTCTTGCTGGCGACGATGGTGCCTTTCGAATCCGAAGTGTCTCAAGTCCATTTCCCGTTCTGATGTGCCAAAAGTAGCCTTGAGTTCGAAACAAACCTGGTTCTGGTGTGCTGGAGGTCGGTGATTTTTAAATAATTCCCACACATCCAAAACCTCCCATCCCGGCCTCTGAGAATCCTGGAGATCAAGAGATCTTGAATCCAGTAGCCGCCCTGATCGACAGGAAAGTAATTGAATGCCATATAGACCTGTCTCAGACATTTGGAAATCCCCGGGCACTTTTCTAAATATCCTTAATTCAGCTCCCACCAGCTCCTCTTTGTCTGAGAGAGTTGAGACATCAAACAGATACTTTTGTCTTCGCAGAGGAGAGTGCGAGAGATCGTCTGTAAGATAAAAGGAATAATTGCAGTCAGATTCACTCAGGGGAACACAGTGCACAGGGGGAAATAGCGCATACAAACTGAAAGACAAACCAAATACATTTTGCCTAATGCGTTATGATAAATGACATTTCAATAAAAATATTTTTTGATTAAGAAGTTAAGTATAAGCCAAGAACGCCATGATTGGTAAGATGACCACAAGTTTACTGTGCGTAGTTTTCCTTACAACATACCGAAGCATTTACCTATTAAACCTAGTTATAAAAGTATAAATAGTAAAGAAAATTAAAATAGAGAAAACTATAGGAGACTAAACCTATCTTCCCAACGACTTAAAATGCTGCATGTTAAAAACAAACTTACGGCGATAGCAGCAGAATACCCAGGGTTTCTGATTTTCAACGTGCACTATACAGAAGAAAAGTAAAATTCTTGAAGAGTAAAAAATAGTTTGTCTCTGTCGGGGGCGGTTTGGGGGCATGTTCACATTTAAAGTGTTTACTATAAGTCTAGATTTGTTTTTTTAGAGCGTTTAGAATTCTAATTTCGATATAGATTCGTAACATTAGCATTTATTTGTTCCTTACTTGTTATCAAAATCCCCCCTTTTCATTATTATTATTATTAGTAGTATTACCATCATCATTTTGGATAAATATTTATTATTAACAAGTGCCTTTGTTATACCTAAGGTTAGGGTGACATGAGAAGATTTTGCTTCTCGGAAATTGTAATTTGTACACATTATAGACACACATATATACATACGAATTCCTGGCGACTTGCCAGGCTGCTTAAAAAACAAAAATATCCTAATAAATATATGTTTTGGTCTGAGGTCCAGTATTTTTACTTCAGTAAAATAATCTGTAATTGATGGGCATTTACGTTTTTGTTTCCAAAATTCCCATTTCAGCAGTCGTGCCTCACATTTACTACAAGCAAACCCATTAGGAGCGCATTCCCAGTTTTGTATATACAAGGTATTTTGTGGCTTTGAAAGTTGTAATCAAGATCGGAATTATGTTTTTCCCTGGGGCATGAACATGTTCAAAGTAGAAAATATATTGTAAGAGACATCTAATTTAGCCCTTCGCTGCATTGCTCCTGCGTCAGCGGGGGGGAAAAGGCAACTTTATTCTCTGCAAGTAACACAAATCACCTTGAGACCATCTTTGTTACATGTACAGCAACACCACGATACACCTATCGAAATTGTACTTTTGCACCTAAAACTAGGTGGTCAATGTTTGTGTGTGGTGGTAGTGGTGGTGTGGGAGCAGCGAATTTCAGTAACAGTAAATTGAATTGCTAAAAGTAAGAAATCTCAACGACACACACAATTCTAACCTTTTCGAAGCATTTTTTTCACACGAGGTTGCTTACTGTGTAAGAAAAATGCAGTATTGAAGGCCACGCTTTGGGTACCACTTGTCTTTGTTATTGCGGCTGGAGCGGGTTAGTGGTATTTCTAGCCCAGTATGGGCTCTCTGAACAGTTTTGAAAGATCGGTTTGAACGCATCTTTATTAACCTGACTATTTTTTTTGGGACTAGGAAATATAAACAACGTACCGAGTTAAAATGAGATTGGTATGGTAACGCTGAAGTAATGCAGTCAGGACAAAATACACAACGATGATAAAAGTATTATAAATTAATTATATCACCCTTTTACGATTTTTAAGCCTGTACTGTAGGTCCACTTTTCACCGGGATAATTAAAAACTTGCACAATATGCTAACATCTGCCCTGAATATATACGGATTTTTTAAACTATTTTTTGTTTTTGGTGGTAAATTTTAAGAGGTCATTTCTTTGAACGACATCCTTTCCTGGAGTTTAGAGACACAGCTACCCAAAACGCATATTTAACGTAACTTTAAGTAATTTATTTGTGGTATGGAATATTGTTCACCGTAATGGTAGCAGTAGTAAGGTTTATTGATGGCAGTGGGTCGGTTTTGTATCAGCATCATAATCATAAACCTAAATAAACATAAACAATATCAAAGGTGTTTTAAGTCACCTAGAAAATTAATATCACCTGAAACAGGACAATTCTGCATTATGCTTATAATAACCGTCTATGTCTTGCGCCCAAAAGCACCTTTTTACTAGGTTACAGATATAGTTACAGTATGTTAGCTTTCCACAAGGAAAAGAGACGTCATGCCAGATTTAAAACTTTGCTCTTATCTTTCTTTTTTCTTTCCGTCGCTCAGAAAACGTTATAGACTTATACAGGTCTGGGTGCATGAAAACCGAGGTTTTCTTTCTGATTATAAAGCGGACATAAACACGAACACGATCATTTCAGAAAACATAATTAAGAGTAAATTGTTGGCAATGCTGCATTTAAGTAGTTGAACATTAACGCCACTCGCGGATTAGATCAATGCGATTAGCCTTTTTTTTTCTTATGGACAAATTTAGGCCTATGTTGAAGATACATTAACACAAAAAATATTACTGCTGAGTGTATGTTTATATTGCACGGAAATGCAGTGCTTCTGCGATCGTCAGATTTCCTGGGCTTTCCGCCAGATCTTAATTTCACTTTAATTTACTTGTCAGTGAATTGCATTCCTCGAACATGTTTCTAAAAATCATAAAACAGATCCGAACTCACTTGCAGATTGTATGAAATTACTTTATTATCCGTAAGAACGCTTGAATACAACGAAATTTTGTTTGCCACCTGTCAGACCAAAACCTTCACCTACTGTAGGTTTGAGCTAGCATTTCTAAGTCGTTAGTTTAATCATTATCGCAGCAGACACGAGGAGTGGTTGCTGAAAAAAAAACGAAGGGAAACTCACTGGTTATAGAGCCATCACACATACCCGAATTTGTAGCACTGTACGTATAAGCCACGAGTTTGGTTAATGTATGGCTGGAGCAAAGCGTGATAAAAACCTATCTTAGAACATAATGCGATGGACATATTTTCGTGGACCGTGTTTAAAAAGCACTCGCATACGAGAGTCACTGGACAAAATCGAATAATCTCTTTTTTTCCTTAAATGTGTGAGAATATTGGTTGTGCACAAACAATGGAATTGCGAGATGGATGTTAATTATAGAGTATTTAAATGAATACGGTGGGGTACAGTTTTGCCAAAAGAGAATATGGTCTCTTTGGATAATCCATCTAGCTCCATTATTTAAAAAAATAAATAACACCCTGTAATCACGCTAACTACGAGTCATTTGTAAGTATGGCATAGACTTGATCTTAGGTTTGGATGTATTTTTCTTCATAATGTATGGCTCATTTAAAAGTGCTTGATAAGTGTATAATACTTTCACACTAAATCGTTTTTCAGAAGTATCTTTCACTCTCGCATGTCTGACACAAAAACAATGTTTTCGATTTTTGCTCGATAACTAGTTACTGATGTTTGACGTCTTCGTGTTTTATTTCTGTACTTGAACCCAACCGAGTTAAATAATAAAAGTAGATTGGAACCTTCTGTTTGTTTCAGTTGCTCAGCGCGTCTGGTCTGCATTAGAGATTGTATAAGAGCTCACACAAATCGAATACAAGGTCACCGAATAATTAACAGTTGTGAATTCCCTCCTTACCCATTAAAATACTTCCCTGCTTATATTTCATTTCCCGTTTGCCAACGACAACATTCCCAGTGCAAAACTGCTCATACCGATTACACTGAATTTAAGGTTATTACACTCACATCATCATATTACGAGAACGTATTTCACACGCTGGGTATTTCGATAGTTTGTCTCCCTAAAATACAACCAAAACATTTTTTTCCTCCAAAACGGACCTAATAGTACACAACTGCTTTTTTAAAAAAAACATTTACTCGAATGTTTATTTACATCACACCAAAGAGGATATTGCTTCTGATAAAGTACCATTAATGCGCATGTAAAGATAATGTAGTCCATACCCAGACGGAAGGTACTGTACCATCTGAAAGAAACACACTAAATTCAATAGCTTCACAAGAATTAAAATACACAACTAAAATTGGTAAATGACTCATCTTTTTTCCCAGACATAACATAACTGTATATTTAATCGTTCGTTATTGACAAAGTTGACGAGTTACAATCCCAGTTATCTGATCTTATTTTCTTTATTCATGAGGTTTCTTTCATAACTGTCATTTTTTTTCTGAGCTATTTTCTAATGCTGTGGTTCTCGAGGCCAGCGAGCACCATCTGCGTTTTAATGAGTTACTCCAAGTGCCAAAAGTAATTTTCATACATTCAGCTCGTTCTTGTCTGATCTTGCGACCGTAACGAAGCTAAAATCTACGACGTTTTGAGATCAACTTTTACATAAAGCCGATCGCTCTTTTTTTTGTTGTTCTTTTTTCCAACATGAAAAGGCAATGTCGATGGTTATGGATACTCCACAGTGCAGCCTCAACACTTTAAAAGTGCTTTAGCTTATAAATTCATAATTAAGGACCAATAATGAAAACACATATTTTTTATACTCCCCAAAACCCTCTATTTGGGGTGCATATTTGTATATAAAGGCGACTGTTCAGTTCGTTTACACTTTAGTATCAGTATTTATCACAGCACATACGTTAACGCTTATTTTTTCATTTATTTTTTTTACACGGATCTGCTTACTTCATCTGGTACTTTAAAAAGACAGAAAAATGCTGTATACAGTAAAGGGGGTATTTTCTATCGGGGTCAATTTAGACCATAGTTTCTGCACGTTGGCTTGGCTAAATCTTTATAGAAAGCCTGTTTAGCGGAGAAAAAAAACCATTCTAGCAATTAAAGTAGCAGTCACGCAGGGAGGTGGGCTGTAAAATAGTAACCACTTCATAGGAACGGAAGTTCTCTTTAATTTTTTTGGTGATGTGCCATTGGCTGGGGTAGTTCATTATGGGAGAATAGACAGTATTTGATATGTTATGACATGAACACTCAATTAGATCACTGAGTTCAAATACTCCAATCAGTGTCTCGATGCTAAGCAACCCTCTGAAGGCCCAGCGAGAGGTCACAGCCTGTGACACATCAAATCAAAATCAGGAGGAAAGTGAGGCTTTTTCCTCATCAAACCAGTTCACAATTCACCCCTTAAAAGCCACGGCCTTTATTTTACGGACCAGGAAGAATGCCGATGTGGTAAACCGATCGCTTTTATTTTCTCTGCCGAACATAAACTCAACGTTCACTCCTCGTTGACCGGGAGTTCAATGTGTTTGTAACATTTCTGCTTTCTTGTCTGGAGTTATACTGTCAGATCATTCGGTTAAAACTTCACTCCCCCGCCCCCACTTTAGTTAAACAGAACAACGAAAAAATATTTTTCCCTCTGCTTTACCACTCTCAAGTTGGCTTACAACCACGCACATGATGCCATTAATATCGCAGTAAACACTCCGCATGGCAATGCCAAAAATCATAACCTACAAAACGAAGGCTACATTCATATATCTTTTGGCCACAACTGCCCTGCTTATTTTTAAACTGGTATACTGTATTTCTTTTTGAAAGTCGATTGGTTACGACACAGAACTGAGAGGCTACAAAGGGGTCATTTAGCTTTGACAAAGCAGGAGAGTTGTCCTCACCGACATGAAATAAATTACGGTACGGTAATTTACTTTTTCCAGCATTTCAACAGCTAATGAACTCCGCTGACTTGAACGAACTGCCACTCGTACCTTTGGAGCGAGGATGTGGTCAGTTTGTAACAAGCCAGATAGAGGGCAAAAGTGTTAAGCATAGAATTTACTGCCCTATTTACAGTACTCCCCAAAACTTTCACAATTTTCAAAAAAGTTATTCGGATACTTTAGCATTTGACACTGCTATGCTGTCTATGCTTATATCATTGAGGCGTAAACGGCGTCACCTAGTTGCACTAAAGCATTCAAAAGCATGCACTGTACCACATACGAGGAATTAGTTAAAGAACTAAATTAAGGCAATGCTAGATTATTCCCAAGAACAAACCAATAAAACGTATAATGGTTTTTAGAGTTGAATAGGTTTTCAGGTGGACAGCTTATAATACTACTACTACTAATAATAAAATATTTTTCTAGATTTCCTTGTTACTAAAACAAGGCCTGTTAAATATATACAGATAAACGCAAAACAGTCTTGTTAGCCTACTGATCCGTTACACTTGTAAAACATTCGCAAAAGTTTTTTTTCTCTCCCTCTCAATTAATACAAATGACGAGCAACCCTTACAAGATAACCAGGAATAATGTTATCATAAGACCTTCCTACTGATACGCAAACTAGACCATAAAACTGGCGAGCACGCGGATGAGCAGCTCAACGCATGCACATTCACTCTTGACGACATCGTTTCGTTTACAGGTGAAGACATGTTGTTGTTTTGTTTTGTTTTTTTCTGACCAACCTTGTCCTCTGTCCACAAAACTTGTTATGGTGTTAGCAGTCTTTGACGACCGAAAAAAACTCGCGTTTAGCCCGAGCTTTTCCGCTGCAGAGTAAGTCCTATAAATAGATAGCATATAGTCGTGCGGTACGATGGCGTCTTTGAGCGCATCGGCGTGATGGCTCCGGAGAGTGGACGAAGATAATATTTCTTTGAGAGACTTGGGTGCCTTCCTCCCGTCATTCAGAATCTTGGTTCCCTTGTTGTTCCTCGGGACAGGAGAAGAGAAAAGAGCAGCTGACTGTAAAGCAGGTACATCCCAAAGACAAATAAGGAGCAGGGAAAACACCGCGGCTCTGAAGGCATCCATAGCAATACTGTCCCACAGCGAACTGGAAGCGCTCTCTACAGTTCAGTCGGTGCGGTAGTTCAAGAAACGCAGCGGTTAAGAGATCCGCAGGCTTTACGGGCAAAAGAAAGTGCGCTCCACAGGACAGAGGGACTGCTGAGGCGATGGAGGGCTACGCCCACTCACTCATGGGTCTGTGCTCATGTATTTATTGGAGAACCTCTACCCCCGGTCCCTCAATCAAGTTGTTAAAGAAGACGAGAAACCCATCCCACGGGCGAGGCGAGGCAGATGGCGTTTTTCTCTCCCAGCGCCACATCCAGCAGAAAGGGATGGCACCCTCAGAAGCAACAGGTTAACTTTTCAAACTGCCACCCCACCCCCTCCGACTTCCACAGACACTCACACGCTCATTGACTGGTTAAAATGTAGCCACTCTAGATAATTCGGAAATTTCACCCCCCCCCTAAAAGATCAGGCTCGGTGGTCGATAAGCGTTTAGCATTGATAAGCTGTGTACAAGTAATGGAAGCTAACAGCATATACAAGACTTTGACCTTTTTCCCTATTGAGTCACAGGAAATATATTTTTTTAAATACATATGAATATCAAATCAAATAAGAAAACGATGTAATAGCCTTAATCAGTTAATATATCCTATGTCGTTTTGTGCAATGCGAGTGTCTTATGTGAACTGCTTTGGGTACAAGCAATTATTTTTTAGACATGAAACCGCACGCGTGCAGTATTTGCACCTGTAGCAGATACGCTCTGTTAATACCCCGTCATTATCGTCGGAGCCATGACAAATTCTAAGGGAAGGAGGTGTTATCCAATTGTATGTACACGAAGATATCAAAAGCTGAAAAAAAGTCGAAAATGATTAGTCCTAGCTTCACTTTACTAGTCACAATAAAGTCGAGAAAAGTTCGAGAAGAAGTCTTACCACTTCTGTTTTTGCCTCGTCACTTTCTTAGTAGCAGTAGTAGTAGTAGTTTTTTCTTTTTTTTTTAAATCTTGGCGACAAAATAGCGTTACATTTCCTAAAACGCTATTTTGCTCGTTTCCAGAAAGCTGTGACCTTTACTTTAACTACTTTTCGCAAAATATTGTCGTATTTAACCACTATCCCCCGTCTCGCAAGTTTCAACCTTCGTCGCTGATAAATGTGCAACGCACATTGAAGGTCTCGTATTTAATTTCTATTTTCTTTCGCTCTGGTGCCTCCAAGCGGACCAAACGCGAATGCAACATTAACTCACCTACTGTAAGAAAACTAAAACATCCTAACACACACTTACACTTGATGCGACGGCTTTTCTGTCCTGATTTTATGCCGTGAGACTTGCAGACTTGGCAGGATTCTACGTTTGGTTAAGGTGCAGCTTCGAAGACAATGAAAAACAAGGCTTTTTTTAAAAATAACATAAACTGTTTATGTTTTTTTGTGGCTCTGTAGAACCAAAATGCAATGCAACCGATTGCAAAGAAAAATAAATAAATGTATTATTAAATAAAATTGTTTTTTTTTTGCGTCAAGGTTTTATTGTTTTATTTTTTTCTGAAATCATACACAAATGGGATCGGAGTAAGGATTAGATTCAACTGACATGAATTTTGCTTTTGAAATCTTTCATTATAATTTTACCCCTCGGTGGCTGTTCTCAGAAAGCAAGGACTTTTGCCGCTAACTGCTGCTCACCTCCACTCATTCTGTAGCATGCTAATCAAGACGACAGGTTTCCTTTAAGCTTCTGCTGCTGACTGACATTTTTTTCTTTATCACACTATCATTAAATTTACATGCTGCGGCTTCTATCCATTGTGAACAATCTGACATACAGAGCAGCATAATCAGGCTAACTAAATCACATCTCCCTAAATAAAAAAAACGTCTTTTAGCAGCAGATAAGACGTGCAAACACGATGTTTGGGAAGTCACATATTAACCAGCTGCAGTATTTGCAGGTCGTATCTAACTGACAGTCTTCCTCCGCGATAAGATTAAACATTTTTAGAAACAGAAAAGCCATGAGCAGTGCCACACAAGAGGGTGATTTTACTCATTCAAGTATTGGTGCGTGTGTGTTTTTGTTCGGAGTTTACATTTGTTAAATCTCTAGATACATTCCAGCACAGCAACTAATTGTGCTTGAGGGTGTAGGTTAGATAAAAACCAGTTTTATTTTGTGGTCCTCAGAATGATCTTAATTTATAAAGTCACTGTTATGTGTAAATAGGAATCAAAATATTTCTTTGAAATGTTATTGCATTTTTATTACCTGAAGACCAGCAATTCCATTGCAGTGCCTTAATTTGGCCTTTTTTTGAAGGTCAGTGCCTAAAAAGACAAAATAAATTAAATCTAAAGACGTATGCTTGTATTTTTTTTAGGATCTGGACAAGGCTAGACTGTAATAAATACACTTCCAGCTCATTGTAGAATGGGCAACAGAAAAATTGTAAAAATGTTTCAGATTGCACCGAATGTTAAACAGAAACAATGTGTACAGTAGTCTGGTGATTAGTCATAACCACCCAATTCATGTATAAAATAAAATACAAAGGTTAGTTGATTCATCCAAAATACAGCTTTCTTGTAGCTCAGTATCTATTATAGTTAGCAAACCTTAGCAATGTGGATTCTGTCCTACATTTTGTTAGTTGTATCACAAGGGAATTTCTGCATTGGTATTAACACATTCCTTTATGGATCTGATTCAGACTGTTGCTTTGGATTGATTTACTGATTCTTTTCACACAATAGTAAAAGTGTCTTCCTCAAAATACAGATTATGAACCGGTCTTTGCAAATATCATGACAAAACAACAAGTCGCAAAATATCTTTTTAAAACTTTTATCTAACCTAAGAAAATCTCTAATGATTCAAAATCATATTTTTCAGAATAACCATTTTACATTTCAGAAGGACATGCATGTCATTGTATTAGGCCATTTTCATTATAAAGGGACAGAACGTAAAATATATTACTGTTATAAATATATCGATTCGTTTAAATAAACCTATCCTTTTTTTTTTTGGCTTTTTGATAGGTTTTATCCAAAGAAACTTACCTATGTTTTTGTTAATACAGATTTCAGTGGCCATTTACACAGCTGGGTTTGCTGGAAAACTCTCATCAAACTACCGGTGCTCAGTAGCAGTGTCACCCCCTAGAATTTCATTTCCATTAGAATGTTCGACAGACTGTTCAGAAAATACCTTACAGCTATTATCAGTAAACTGTTATCAGAACAAGCACTGGAAGAACAAATGCCCTTTATCTTGTCCAGCTGAAGGATAGAACAAGAGCACATCAGTACAATATGCCATTTAAAACCACACCATGAAAACAATATCAGAATTCAACTATTTGTTCTTTGAAAGTGAATCCATTTCTTCTCACTTTTGATCAATTGAATACAATTCCAAAGTGTGATGCAATAAAACCATACAGTAGAAGGCTTCAGCTTTTATCAGAATAACACCTGGTGTAATTATGGTACATAACAGCTGCCATAATTATACACAGAACTTAGCCAGACCATGTACTGTATGTGGTGATTGGGACTAAGGAACATAATCTTACAGTGACACCAAGTGGTCGAATATTGTAGCTCTAGATGTTTTAAAAGAAATACAACCACAATACAATTATCATAATATCTGCAATAAGCGTGAATCCATACTGTCTAAACGTACATTAATTTCTTATCCTCATATGGAAGTTTCCTCTTGTTCTTTCATATTAAACCAGTTCTTCAAACGAGTGCCAAAGCCCAAGTGAAGTAATCATGTTCATTTCCGCCTCAGAAGTAGTCCAAATTCTTAACTACTTAAACTACGTATCCTTTATTTTTGTGTTGTATTAAGAGCTGAAAACAAACAGAAATGTCCAATTAAACAAATGAGGAGTTTGTTTACGTACGTACAGCACTTGGGGTTCGGCCTATGCTTTTTTTGTGTTTTAAATAGCACAGTTCTTTTAAAACTTAAATCTGGTTTATTTTAATTATTTCCAGGAACACAATAGTATTTTTTTTTGTTGGGTAGCACACACAGTGGATAGCCTTGTTGTTTCATAGTGCTGGAGCCCTGGGTTCAATTCCAGACTTGAGGTGCTATGGAGAGCCTCATGTTCCCTAACACACACCAAAGACATACTAGTTGGTTAATTGGTTTCTGGGGAAGCTGGCCCTGATGTGAGTGTCAGCGTGTTTGTATCTGTGCTCTGCAATGGACTGGCATCCTGTCCAGGGTGTATCCTGCTTCGTGCCTGTTGTTTGCTGGGATACGTTCCAGATGCCCTGCAGCCTTGTGCTTGATCAAGCGCTCAGAAAAACGGATGGGTTTGTCTGACACAACAGACAGTCCACAACATTTTCAGCTGCTGCTACCCACAGCAAAACACATCACATCACACACATCAATAAAACTGTTATATAGTACATTCAGCATGAGGATGTGTGTCCCACAGCTGAAATGTTGTCAAATCAATATGAGGCTGGAGAGGGGAGAAAGTGAGGACATGGGATTTAATCAATGCGGTACCACGCTGGTCTGATTGCCCCATCATTATAAGTGTGGGACTAGACACTCCTGCTCCTATTATTACACTTGGACCTGCACAGCGATGGGTCATTTGTACACATTATCATATGGCTCTTCATATCTTTACCACTGTTGCTGAAGATAAGATAAGGTGGTATAACAAAACCTTGATTCATTGCTAAAAAGGATTTGTCTCCACGGTTGGCGAGCCCATCTGAAGTGCTATTCACACCACCTCATAATATTGCATTAATGAATGTTGGTGAGCACTGAACCCCCATGCAATCTCTCTGTATGATAACTATTTATCTTTCTCTCCTCAGCTGATCTGCCAACGTAAGGGTTATTTATGATGCAGTGGAACAAGAGTGGGAAAATGTTCAAGAAGAAGAAAGATGTTGATGTGTCAGAGAGAGAGGCGATGAGGTGAACTAACCTGTCGAGTTTCAGAAGTCAAAAGAAAGACAAAGGCTGTGCTTACTGAACAGTTAAAATCACTCTAGTGATTCACAAATTACCAATTAAACAAATGATACTAAAACATTTAGTCAAAATGGTTATACTTTATTTTTACAAAATGAGCATGCTTAAGCACATAGGGTACTGATGATCAGTGTACACCAAGCACTGCCAGAGCAGAGTACTCAATCATTCTACAATGTTTCTGAAAAGATGATAGGGTTCTCTCCCTCATCAGTCCTTAATAAGTAAAGATCTTTACCCAACATGTCTGCAAAATGATAAAAGGTGGATTTGAATCCAGAGTTAAATTCCTGTTGTAATTCAGAAATTATAGGATATTAAACAAGGCAAAAATATAATGATGTCATTTCATTGACGGAGACTGGATTAAAACTGTTTAGGCTGGAACCCTGGAGAAATAATGTAGAATCTTTAGTAATACAAATAGAGAGAATGTGAATAGAGAGAAAGAATAGTACAAATAGAGAGAAAATGAGAAAATGAATAATTTCCTTTACGGATCACGTTATTTACTGAGATGTACATGTTAAAAAATACAGCTAAAAAGCAGGGTCCTCAGTCTTAACCCAACTACTGTACAACAGTAGTCTAATTTATTTTGAAATCCTCTATTTCACATTTACAGTATGTCCTAGATAATGTTTGATTTAAATTAAAAACTTATTTTATATATTTAAGTATTATCTTTATTCGGAAAGAAGTCTGATTCTAGCTCTCATTTTTTCAGCTTTCCCCAATTTAAAAAAATACATAGACAGCTGGTTAGACCCCCTAATTGAATTCATTTGAAAAACGATCTTTGAGTTGAATTTTAGTCAGTTCTGCCCAGAGTGCTCAAAT